TATACTCCTATTGGGTCTGTTTCTCTGGAGAACCCTAATGTAGTTTCTATATCTTCTTATCAAAGCTCACTAAATGCCTTCCCCTATCACTTGCTTGCTTAAATTTACATGAGCTAATTCACTGCACACTTTATAGCCTGCCACGGAAGATCAATATATGATGTAGACATGATGTCGTTATACCAGGAAATGTCCTAAATGTTAGTAGGCAATGTAGAGTACATTACCGGAAATCTCTTTGCAACTGATCTTTGTAAACTAAGGTATGAAAATTTTGAAATGTAAGAATTGAGCAATATAAAAATTAAATCCCCATGGAGTTCATTTGAATTGTATTTATTCACTCATTACATGGCAAAATTTCAATTATGCATGAGTAATTCTCTGAAAATATGGATTTAGATGAGCAAGTACTTTTGATTTTCAGCTCTGTAAGAATTCCATGGGCTATATACATATGGTAAAACTTTCAAAAAGAATAAAAACCTTCACTAAACCAAATGCCAGTATAAATTTTGACCCATAGCAAATATTATACTACCAACTATGTCTTATTTGAGTGTACAGTTGTGTGAATGTGAAGTAAAAAAAATAAATGTAAACCTGAGGTTAGAGAGCAACTTCAGATTATATGAGAAAATAAATTAACTATCAACACAGATTAGTTTTCATCTTGAGCTTGGCCACAATTTTGCTGGCGTACCTTGTCTGTTGTACACCTGTTCCATCCTTGTTTGTCTTCCATCAAAGCCACCTGGTAAAACAGTCACTAGACTCAGTATTTTCTATTTTAGATCAAGTTGTCTTATATTGAAGATTTTCTGCCTTATTGCTAAGACCCAATCTTTTTTTTTTTTTTTTTTTTGTGCCCAGTTCTGTTTCTAGATAGTGGCTCTTTTCTTCCTTCCTCCCTTCCCTCTCTTCCTTCCTTTTTTACTTTTCTCACTTCTCCCATTCTGTTTTTAATTTTTTGAAAGTTTACTTATTTTGAGAGAGAGAACAAGCAGGGGAGGGGCAGAGAGAGGTGAGAGAGAGAATCCCAAACAGGCTCCGCCCTGTTAGCGCAGAGCCCGATGTGCGGCTCAAACTCAGGAACTATGAGATCATGACCTAAGCTGAAATCAAGAGTTGGACACTTAACTGACTGGGCCATCCATGCACCCCTCACTTTTCCCTTTCTGATAGCAAACTGAATTTAGTTTAGAAAATAGTGCTCATTGCTCAGTAAATTCAAATGCCATGTTCTTCTGCTACAAAAACAAATAGTCCTCAAAGATTCTAATAAAATATTCCTTAGAGACCCCTCATATGGTCAATAGGTAGGTGTTATTTTTGTTGTATTTTATTATTAAGTTTTTAAATTTTAGTTAACATATAGTATAATATTGGTTTCAGGAGTAAAATTTAGTGATTCATCACTTACATATAACACCCAGTGCTCATCACATGTGCCCTCCTTAAAAATCATCACCCATTTAGCCCGTTCCCCATTCACCTTCGCTCCTCAGTTTGTTCTCTATAAGTAAAAGCCACGTATGGTTTGTTTCCCTCTTTTTTTTATTCTTTCCCCTATGTTCATCTGTTTTGTTTAACTTTCACATATGGGTGAAATAATATGATATTTATCTTTCTCTGAGTGACTTATTTCACTTAGCATAAAACACTCTACCTCCATCCATGTTGTGGCAAATGGCAAAATTTCATTCTTTATGATGACTGACTAATATTCCATTATATATATACTACCTGTTCTTTATCCATCAGTCACGGGACATTTGGGCTCTTTCCATAATTTGACTATTGTTGATAGCACTGCTATAAACATTGGAGTGCATGTGCCCTTTCAGGTCAGTACTTTTGAATCCATTGGGTAAATATCTAGTAGTGCAGTTGCTGGGATGTAGGGTAGTTCTATTTTGAACTTTTTGAGGAATCTCCATACTATTTTCCATGGTGGCTGCACCAATTTGCATTCTCACCAGCAGTGTAAAATGGTTCCCCTTCATCCGTATCTTTTCCAACATCTGTTTCTTGCATTGTTAATTTTAGCCATTCTGACAGTGTGAGGTACTATCTCATCGTGGTTCTAATTTATGTTTCCCTGATAATATGTGATATTGAGCATCTTTTCATGTGTCTGTTAGCCATCTGAATGTCTTCTCTGCAAAAGTGTCTGTTCATGTCTTCTGCCCATTTCTTAGCTGGATTATTTGTTTTCCGCGTGTTGAGTTTGAGAAGTTCTATATGGACTTTGGATACTAACGTTTCATCAGGTATGTCATTTGCAAATACCTTCTATCATTTCACGGGTCGTCTTTAGTTTTGTTGATTGTTTCTTTCACTGTGCAGAAGCTTTTTATCTTGATGAGACCCCAATAGTTTGTTTTTGCTTTTGCTTCCCTGGTCTCTAGAGACCTGTCCAGAAAGAAGTTGCTGTGGCCAGTGTCAAAGAGGTTGCTGCCTGTGTTCTCCTCTAGAATTTTGATGGTTTCCTGTTCCATTTTAGGTCTTTTATCCATTTTGATTTTATTTTTGTGTATGGCATGGGCCTTAGACCTAACTTTAACCAAATGACTTCTTTTAGTACTTTAATCTTGAACTGAAACACACAGAAAATAAACATTAAGTAGAGATCATTATTTTTTGTGGTGGTATTGTTTAAGCGGTGGTGTTTCTATCCTATCCTAATTCTGTATCCTAATTCTATATCTGTTCTGTTTCCCTATCTTACTTCTATATCTAATTCTTTTGCCTTTCCATCAGTTCAGTGAGATATACAACTCTCAAATAGATTATTCATTTAGCTAGTTTATTGTGGAATTTATATTCACTGGAAAGTAAACATAAATGGTTTTGTTATTTAACAATAATTGCCATCTCCAACTATATTGTGCCTAATCCCCTTTCACATTGGGTAGTAGGTCCTTTATAGCATCCAAATAAGAGTCTGTAACTGTTAAGCTATTAAGAAAATGTTTGTAACCAGACTATATTTGGGATTGAATGTTCAGTTCTATTCACTTTTAAAACTGTACTCTCAAATGTGAGTCAAAAATTTTCTATTCCCTCCCCACGGTGCAGGTGAGAGCAGTGGCCTTGGCTATTTCAAATGGATAATATGAAGTGTGATGTAGCTCTCCCTTCTGAGGTGTGACATGAGGTGTGACAGCTTTTTCTCTCTTTTTCTAGGAACTAGGTTCTTTTCTGTTGGTGAAAGAGAGGAGGAACATAGGGAGGTGCAGTTCTCCTAACTTTATTCCACTGTAGTTGGTTTGTTAAGTGCTTCGTGAATTCATTTTTTTTTTCAGTCTGGTCTTGTCTGGCATTTATATTTGCAGGTAATATGGAGTTGTTTCTTGGGTTCCTTAAAATAATGTTCAGATTCACCCTCCAAAATTGAGAATCCCTCTAGAAAATCATCCATTCCTTTTTGACCCTACCACTAGTACTTTTCGCCAAAACTTCCTTTGGATTGAGTATCATATTTTTTAACCCAGCAGCCATTCAAGCTGTCCAGTGGCTTCTGACCCTCCACTAACATCTAAATTCATTCATTGGTGTCCATGTAACTATCATACAATTCTTCCATATGCCTAAAATTTTGGAAAGATTGTTTGGTGGTTAACTCTTCCTTTCCATGCACATGGCATTGTTATTGTTGTGGTTAATATTATGTATCAACTTGACTGGGACATAGGACACCCATATTAAACAATATTTCAGGGTGTGCCTGCAAAGGTGTTTCCTATATGTTTATTATTAAAAAAAAAACTTTAATGTGTATTTACTTCTGAGAGAGAGAGAAAGATAGAGCACAAGTGGGGGAAGGGTAAGGAGAGAGGGAGACAATGAATCCAAAGCAGGCTCCAGTCTCTGAGCTGTCAGCAGAGTCCAACATGGGGATCAAACTCATGAACTGTGAGATCATGACCTGAGCCAAAGTTGGATGCTTAACCCACTGAGCCACCCAGGTACCCCATATATGTTTAGCATTGAATTAGTGAATTCAGTAAGCAGATTGACTTCTTCAATATTGGTATCTATCATCTGACCCATTAAGGGTCTGAACTGAACAAAAAAGTAGAAGGAGCAGTTCACTCTCTTCCGGATTATTAATCTAGGACATCATTCTTCTCCCCTGATACTTACACCATTGATCCTCCAGTTCCAAAAAATATACTGCTTGTTTTCCTTGGTCTTCAGCTTACAGTTAGCAGATGTGAGACTTCTCAGCTTCCATAATTGTGTGAGACACATCTTGCAATAAATTATATGTGTATGTATCTCATATTGGTTCTGATTCCCTGAAGAATTCTGGTTAATACAACTATGATACCTTTAAATTGTCTGTCATAATCTTTAGCACAAAAGTGGACACCAAACTCTGTGTTCACTTGGGTTTCTAAATTTAGGAGACACATAGTAAGTATATTTATTTTCCAAAATACTGTTGAAAGGCTGAAAATGCCAAAGAGATTCTGAAATTCCAAGAATTCTTTTATAGGATTGTCCATACCGTACTCAGCTTATGGGGCAAAGCAAGAGAAACGTATCAGTTGTGCAACTCATCAGGTAAGCTGACAGATAGTGGGATGTCCATTTGCAAAGACAATGCTAATCTCCACCAGTGGTTCTACCTATGCTCGCCTTACGTGGCTTTGGGTCAAAAAATACCCTCCTGAGAAGGGGAGAGACTGCCTTTTCAACAGAAATTCTTCACTCTCAAAATTGCCAATACATTTTCCTTTCAGCTCATATTGATTGGCTTTTAGGGAGATAAAGCATAGTAAAATGTAGAGTGTTTGGAATTAGTTATCCGGCGAGGATGGGGCAGAAAGCAGAGAAAATCTTATTTACATTCTAGGAAGAGAAGGTGATTTTGAGTGGAATGAACAGACAAAACTTCTAATTAAGCTTGTTTATGACACTGTTGTGTATCAGAATCTGGAGAAAGGCTTGGATAATTTCCCCCATTGAAAAATAGGCAGTGTCATCTCTTTCGCAGCTAGCGCTGAGAGCGATGGGCATCTCTCGGGACAACTGGCACAAGTGCCGCAAGACCAGGGGCAAGAGAAAGCCCTACCACAAGAAGTGGAAGTATGAGCTGGGACGCCCCACCGCCAACACTAAGATTGAACCCCCCCCCATACAAACAGTCCAGGTTCGAGGAGGCAATAAGAAGTACCGTGCCTTGAGGCTGGACGTGGGGAATTTCTCATGGGGCTCTGAGTGTTGTACACACAGAATAAGGATTATTGATGTTGTCTGTAATGCATCCAAAAATGAACTGGCCTGCACCAAGTCCCTGGTGAAGAACTGCATCATGCTCATTGACAGCACACTATACTGGCAGTGGTACGAGTCTCACTATGCACTGCCCCTGGGCCGCAAGAAGGGGGCCAAGCTGACTCCCGAGGAGGAAGAGATTTTAACCAAAAAACAATCAAAGAAAATTCAGAAGAAATATGATGAAAGGAAAAAGAATGCCAAAATCAGCAGTCTTCTGGAGGAGCAGTTCCAGCAGGGAAAGCTGTGTGCATGCATTGCTTCAAGACCAGGCTAATGTGGTCGAGCAGATGGCTATGTGCTGGAGGGCGAGGAGCTAGATAGAGTTCTATCTGAGGAAAATCAAAGCCCAGAAAGGCAAATAAATCTTCCTCCTTTCTTCGGTCATGTAATAAAGGTGTTTATTCTGCCCTGTAAAAAAAAAAAACAAACAAAAACAAAAAACAAGCAAACAAAAAAAAGCAATGTGTGAGAAATGCTAAGACCGCAGGATAGAGTCATTGCTACCAATGACATTAGAGATATTAATAACTGATTACAGTCAGATTTCTAAATTTTCACATCAAAGCAAAGAGTGTACTTTAGGGAGTTTTCTACAGTAAGAAATTTTATTTTGTGTAACTGTAAGGTTTCTGATAGCTTCCAAATTGCTGGGGGAAGAAAATATGGAGTCCGATTTTTGAGATTGCTGAATTCTAGTCACAGAATTTATAAATCTGCTTTATGTGCATTGATTGGGAAAGAGAGTGAGCCCAACAATTTGGGAATATCTGAGAGGAGTTAGGGTATTCATAGCTCCCCTGCAGCACACTAAAACATCTATTATTCTTCCAATATCCAAGGAAACACTTTTTCTTCTCTTGCTTGATAAACATGTATTGTTTCTTGAAGAGGGCCTAAGACATTACTTGACAAAGGTTTCTTATGGAAGGGAACAAATTATTCATTTTCTAGTTACATTCGCTGACAAATTCACACGGAATAGCCTAAAACTGTGATGAAACTGATCTGGTCGCAGCAAGAAAGTTCAGCTACTGATGAAAAGAAGGGTTTCATTCCCCTTTGAGGAGTTCTTTATCCCTAAGAGATCACGGACAGCAACTCCTGGATATAACCTGCAATAAACTTGGCATGCGCATAAAAGTAGGTTAGAAATTCCTTATCTTTTTTGTATGTATATCCAAGAGCCCATTGGTTTGACCATGTGCTGGTAAGATAACAATACAGAGAGAAAAACTGTTCCTCAGGAGACTGCAGAAGGGTGAGGGGCACCAGTTTTACATGTTTGGAGGATGGTTCTGAATGTGGCAGCTGTAGAGACAGCTTTCAATGGAGACAGGAAACTTCGCAGCCGTGATAGGAGCAGCACTTTATGTGCAGCTGTCAGTTGATCTAGGACGCTCCACCTAGGGCCTGCTTCTTGAGGTCATCCAACAATTCTGTGAGCTGTTTCTATGCTGCATTTTGTGCCTTTTTTCATAAACTAGCTAGAAGAGCGTCTCCACAATTGAACCCCATTTACAGAGTTGCTAAATAAGTAGCCTCCTCTAAGTAGCCCTCTCCAAGGCAGATGTTGCTTTAATAGATTAATCATGATTAGATCTACTTTCGTCTTCTAACTGTGCAAAAAACAGAGGCATATGGATGGGAAAATAGTGAACTGAAGAGTTATGGAAAATCAAATAGTATCCCAAAGTGGAAGACGAATATAAGTGAGAAGAAAACAAATGATATGTTAATAAATGTTTTAGAATATTTGAAATAGCCATCCTTTCTATAAATTTTTTTTAATGTTTTATTTATTTCTAGGAGAGAGAGACAGACAGCGTGAGCAGGGGAGGGTCAGAGAGAGAGGGAGTCACAGACTGAAACAGGCTCCAGGCTCCGAGCTCGCAGTCAGCACAGAGCCCGACGCGGGGCTCGAACCCACGAACCGCGAGATCATGACCTAAGCGAAAATCGGACGCTTAACCGACTGAGCCACCCAGGCGCCCGAAATAGCCATCCTTTCATGCGATTTGCTGCTTCCAACTCTACATCCATCTCCTTTTTTCCTACCCCTGTTTCATTCATACCCATAACTAGGCTACCTCTTTTTCAAAAATGATATAAGCTTTCACTTTCGTTTAAATAGATGTATGAAGTAATACGGATATTTCCCCTTTTTTTTTTCAATATAATTTGTAACTTGCTCTTATAGTCTGGCTATAAGTCTGGCTATGCTAGCATAACGAAAAGAGCATAGGTTTTGGCATCAAAGGAATTATGCAAAAGTAATAGTTATATATATATAAACCTTGGCAAATTACAAGTTTCTCTGTTTTATTCTCTAAATATATAAAATGATAAAAAAAAATTTCCAGTCCTCAAAGATGTCCATGGTAAAAAGACAAATATAATCGCTTAAAAAACATAAAACACCATAAAAATGTAAATAAATAAATACATATGGGCGCGTGCGCGCGCACACACACACGTTGTGGGTGGTGCGCGGGGGATGTGAATGAACACATGTATGTATAGATGTGGGTGTCCGAGTATATAAAATCAACGTTAAGGCATCAATCTCAATTCCATTGGCCTTGTTGGAAGTGTTGGGAAGCAAAGAAATGAGAGGGAATTGTCACTAGGACTCAAATTAGACTCCAGGTCCTTAAAAGGAGAAGCTAACAAAGATGACAATTTATTTTTCATTTTCTTGTGACAGAGAGCCCTAGAACAAGACTGTGAATACAAAGTTTTATATATTCTGTGTTAATGCAAATTGCTATGATCCTTCTGATGGATGTAGAAATGAACACATATACCAGATCAAAAGTCACATATCATATACCTGAGGCTGTGGCAGTCTGTTCTAGAAAATATATCCAGCACAGCAGATGCTTTCAGAGCTACTACTTGGTTAAACTTATGGTAGGTGTTCTGTTGTCTTCTACCATGATCTAACTAGGTTTTGCAGAAGCCAGATTGCTATATTAAATGGACTATATGATGGATTCTGTTACCTTTCATCATTTATGTCTTTGATGGCACTGATTTTGCCATTTCCCTTGGAATACAATAACTTTTTTTTTTTTTTACTTTTCTTTTCCAAAGGGGGAACAGGTCCCTAGAGATTCCTCTTGGCCTTTCCTACTAAAATAGCTTTTACACCATATAGTAAGGAAAAATGTGAGGGACCTGCTGACTGCTTAGTATTTCCATTTCCAATATACAGTTGGGAATTAGGGATATAACCACCTGGAGGATTTCATGGACCCTAGTGTAAGATTTCATGGACCCCAGTGTAAATTCCTATACCAGTAATTTAGTGTAGTTAGTTGGTAGGTTTATTTAGTACTTAGTAAACACATTGAACCATGCCCATTTCTCTGAGCCTGTAGATCCGTTTTCCACAGTTTTACGTGATAGCTTGGTATTTCTGTTCTATTTAATATGGGTCATTACTTTTCAAAATTTGAGTTCTAAAAATTATCTCAAAATTCATACTAAAACCATATCCCTGGCACTGATCAGGAGAGAGTACCCCCATATCCACAAAGCCTTCTTTATCCAACTTTATATTCCATCCCCTAGACCCGGCACCCGAAGCATCCACCTCCAGGAATACTCTCCTTATATTTGACAGTATATATTATCCAGCTACTAAAACTCCTTTATTATATATTCCTTTTATTTATTCAGCAGAACCAGGACTTCTCCATTTGAATCATGTTAAGATTTAACCCTCATGAGTCTGATGACCATAGAGGGAGATTGAAGACAGATTCTGAAGAAAGCAAGAATTATCTTTTTAGGCCCCTGACATATTTGGTGTTTCTACATTATATTCAAAGAATAACCTTCCAACAAGGTGGAATAGGTTACTTCTACAAGGAGATCTTGGGTTCAAATTCTTCAGTATATTTATTCAGATATCTCCATTTTATATATTAGAATCCAACTCCTTTCATATTACAAATGTGAATTTGGCACTGGAGATTCTCCAAAGCTAATAATTCAGTTAATAATAATAAATTTAATAATAAATTTAATAATAATAAAGTTAATAAAGTTAACTTTATCATGGAGTCCTGGTGTCAGATTTCTACTCTGTTTACCACTCAGCTATTGGAAATAAATGTCTCTTTAAATGCCTCCCAGGTATATATCTGACTCACACTTTGCCTTAATTTGTAATTAATCATTCTGAGTCTGTTATTTTCTTTCTTCAAGTCATTAATTCTACTCATCCACAACAACCCAATCTCATATGCCTTCTAATTACCCCCATGCCTATTAATACCACAGATCACACAAGTCAGTATATCTCCTTTCAGTGCATCTCACCAAGTTTACTACAATTGAAATTCTCAATCATGGCTCCGCTTTTCACTAGTGATGGGACATAACTCTTAGACACTGTTGGGTGATCCAACTCCAAAATTCCATCCCTAGCATCTACTTAGGAACTTTCCTGGTACTGTCTTAAGTTGGATTCATTAGACAAGCGCTCATTTGCACATGATTTATTAGAGGAATATTCTTCAAAAAAGACTGTAAAGAAATGAAAGATTTTTTTAAAAAAAGTTTTTAAATTTATTTTTGAGACAGAGACGGAGCATGAGTGGGGGAGGGGCAGAGAGAGAGGGAGACACAGAATCTGAAGCAGCCCCAGGCTCTGAGCCGTCAGCACAGAGCCCAATGTGGGGCTCGAACCCACAGACTGCGAGATCATGACCTGAAGTCAGAAGCTTAAATGACTGAACCACCCAGGTGCCCCAAAATGAAAGATTTTTTTTTAAAAAAATAAGCAGGTCTTAGGTAACATCTGAAACTTTCTTGATTCACAAGATGCCTTGAAGCCTAAATCACACTACAGAGTTGTTTTTCTTTGAGGAAAAAGAGGACAACTATTTATCCTCACGTCTGTCAGTCATAACTTGAGGAACACCAAAAGTGAGAAAGCTTTTATTGGCTGAGAGCTAATTATGTAATTGGCTGGAGAGAGTAGTAAATATGAGACATTAGCAGCAAATGCTAATAACATTTGGATGATGGGGGATATAGCCTGGCAAATGGAATCAAAACAGGGCATGAGCAATGTCTATTGCACTAGCCTATAGTAAATACTCAATGTTAATTGAAATAAAAATTATATTTACCAACATCTATTAATTGTACATTATTGATATCACATTATAATTTTATCAGGGTCACTTCAGGAATTTTTCAAAATGTACATACCCCAAAACTATCAGAATCACTTTGAGGATCAGGGTGGAGAACATACATATATTTTGAAAGTAATTCTCAGCCATTGCTAATATCCACCT